TTTTTTTAATGATGTATCCGGGGTGTTTTTGCCCCACTGATGGTTAGTCACTCGCGTGAAGAACCAGGGAGGGTGTTCGTGGGTCTACGGACATGGTGGATACATTACCCGTACGTACAAGTGTGACGCAGATGGGAGGGGTTGTACCCGGGGGCCGGGATTCCCCTCCACCACCGTATGATTTTTTTAATGATGTATCCGGGGTGTTTTTGCCCCACTGATGGTTAGTCACTCGCGTGAAGAACCAGGGAGGGTGTTCGTGGGTCTACGGACATGGTGGATACATTACCCGTACGTACAAGTGTGACGCAGATGGTGTAGAACCTTTAAGGTAGGGGTACGGTGATGAAGCACCGGGAGCCCCTTTGTTGAGTGCAGCAGCCGTGCTGCTACTCTCTCTCTCTCTCCTCCTCCTTTCCGAGCACGACAGCGTCCCGGGTACGGGCGTTGTCTCACCGTCTGAAGTTAATACACTATACACAAACAAGTCCCGATAAGTACGCGGAGTACGGCCGACAAACACCACCAACTCGCGTACGCCCTCGCCCTTGAATAATGTCGCACTACTGCTGCACAAACACGTACGCATGCGTAAACTACAACGCACGCAGCGAGGCGCTGAGACTATTGGCTGTTTGGCCCGCCCCGTCAAGCGACGAAGGCGGGCACGTCCGAGAAGCGTAGGGTTGTAGATGCATCGCAAAATACCCCATTCTCCATGCCCCAGGAGAGCTTGCGCTGCACCACTATGATAGATATACTTGTAGCAATGCCAAGAGGTTGGTGCGGGATGATCAAATGGAATGAGGTAGAGCGGAATACCGGGTGACATGTGTGGTACGTAGAATGGATTCAAGGGATGTACAAGGTACCCCTGTTGCATACGGCGTCGCCCCCTCAACGGGGCTTGTGTGTATGTGGATGCAACTTATCAAAACAATTTTTCTCCTCGGCGCAAGCCCGCCGAGCTGCCGACACCCTATTCAACACACGTCTTGCGACAAGCTACCCCCAGTTCGGATTATCATAACACGCTAGCGTGTGATATCATACGGGACCCCGAGGTGGGGCTAGCTACAAAAGGGTTCGGCCAGAGAACAGTGACACGGAAATCATGGAGCAGCAGCTGGATGAGCTCCAGCTCTCGGACGAGCAGCGAAACGAAATCGACGACTTTATCAAGGAGCAGGTCAAGATCAAATTGATGAAGCAGCAGCAGCAGAGCGCCCCGCAGCACAGAGCGAGGGCATGCCTTCCGAAGGAGGCGACGACCGGCTGGAGAGGCCGGCTGGCTCGGAGTCAAGCCCGCGACCCAAAGACCAGCCCCGATCGCCGGCGGACGTCAGCCTCATCGACACTCTCGTGCGGGCCTTGCAGAGGGTCAAGATAAAACCGGAGGATGAATACAGGGAAGTCCTTNTTTATCAAGGAGCAGGTCAAGATCAAATTGATGAAGCAGCAGCAGCAGAGCGCCCCGCAGCACAGAGCGAGGGCATGCCTTCCGAAGGAGGCGACGACCGGCTGGAGAGGCCGGCTGGCTCGGAGTCAAGCCCGCGACCCAAAGACCAGCCCCGATCGCCGGCGGACGTCAGCCTCATCGACACTCTCGTGCGGGCCTTGCAGAGGGTCAAGATAAAACCGGAGGATGAATACAGGGAAGTCCTTACCCCTAAAGAAACAATACGTATTAGCGCAGGTATCACAATCCCTGCATTTACCGGGAAGTTTAGCCATTAGGACGATGTACAAACGGCGGTAATGTTTTTTTCCAGTCAATTTCGATCTTTTTTGGAGCAGGAGCGTTGCCTAGGGGCAATAGAATCGAAGAACACGATTTGTGTAGGGGAAGACGGATGCGAATATCTCGGCATTGAAGGTGGAGCATGGGACGGAAGCTGTAGATCGGGCGGTTAAGGCTTGGCAGCTGATTATATCCAAGATACAAGTACCGACAATAGTCCCTGCAATCCTAGCTAGTGGTCGCCCCACTGAATCGTGGGATCAATTCCTCAACTTTTACCGAGTGCACGCCAGTTGGAGTTGCAGGGGCAGTGGTACTCGTTGAAGCAGCAAGTAGGGTAGGAGCCCCGGCGCTATCTCACAAGAGCATCAGTACTTCGCCAGAAACTAGAAGCGTACGGTTGGGTGCAATCCGATCATGATGCTAACGTCCACTATGTACGCAACCTTCTCCCGATCGATTTCAACGTGCAGAGGAGCGTGTTGTTGGCACATTCGGAGGTCAAGACGGAATTGGTAGAGAAGGTGATTCTGACTGCCTGGGCGGAGACGGAGGCCGCTAAGAAGAGGGCGTCGGAGAGCGTGGGGCCGTATGCCCTCGTCACTGGCGGTGACAACCGTGGTGGCGGGCGCGGGAACATGGGGGAGAGCGGGAAGACGAGAAGACAACGGAGGACGGCAGCGTGGCAACAGCAGCAACAACCGCAGCAGCCACAGCAGCAGCATCAGCCGTTCTTCAAGCAGCAGCAACAGGTATTCCCGCCGCCGTACCCGCCTGAGATAAAATATTGTGACCTTCACAACTCCTCGTCCCACAGCAACGAGGAATGTCGCTGGCAGCGGGGTTGGCGAGGTCCCTCGGGCGGCCAAGGTGCGAGCTACGGCGGAAGGCACAGGCCCCAGCATGGGGGCCGGGGCTGTTCTGGAGGAGGACGTCATCAGCAGCAGCCGACAGGAGGAAGATTCGGGGGGCGTGGCGCCGCTTCCGGTGGGAGGGGCACGGGCCCTTTTCACCAGGAACCGCCGGGCAGCAACCTCCCCGCCTACCCTGTAATTCAGCGGGGCTACGACTACAGCGCCTACCCCCCCCACATGTACCGTCCGCAGGGAAATGAACCTCCCATCCACCCGAATGACCCTCGCAAGCCGTGTGAGAACTGCGGTGAACTCGGCCACAACCATCTGTTCTGTCCTCGCGTGTTGATGTCGGAAGCCCAGCTGGCATGCCGGCCGCCAACGCGACGCCTAGGCCCCCACCGCCCCGGCCGCAGGCCCGTGGCTACAGCCAGCGGCCGCCGTGGGCCCACTCGTACGGGCAGGCCAACACCGCGCAGCAGTACGGCGGAGAAGGGGTAGAGCCAGGAGCAGCAGGAGCGACGGTGGCGACGACGGCAGCACCATCTACGGGGGGACATGCAGTGACGCACGTGACCGGTGGTTACGCACGCGAGCGGTGTGTACGAATGCCCACCCCAACAGCAGCAGCCGGAGTACCTATCCCCCCCCTTCCAACAGCAGCAGCCAGTCCCCGCCCCTTACGCCTCTCCCGCGCCTTCGACCGGAGCACCTTTGTCGGCAGGGGGGACTTTGCATGCGTGTGTTGTAAGGGACATGTCAAGTGAGTACCAGAGTGAGATTTCGAGTGGATTCATAGGGGGTGAGGGGTATGCCTTGATGAACTCTATACCGGTTGTGAGGACGGAGCGTGTAGGAGCTGAAGAATGGCTTGCAGACTCCGGTACAACTAACCACACCACCGGAGACCCCACGAACATGTATGATATGATCATCCCGCCCCTTGGTAGCGAGAGAGTGCAGATCGGTGATGGCAGGACGATGCGACTGCTTGGAATCGGATGTTTAAACGTGAGGTTTCATCTTGAAGGTAGAGACTTTTGCGTGAAGCTTACCCGAGTACGTCATGAAGAAGGAATGGGGTTCAATCTTTTCTCCCTCCACCAAGCATAGGGATTGCAACGTATTGCCTTGGACGACGTAGGCACCCATCTTTTCCATGGACAATTGACCTTTCCTCGTGGCGAGAGGGGTTCGTCGCTTTGGGCCACTCGCTTGCCGCCTAACTATGAAACGCCCACCGCTGTGCCTGTGATGCCTTTTCCCCCGGTGCCCCCTCCCAGCGCTGCTGGTGTACGATTACCTGCGAAGGATGGTAGAGTGATGCCAGAAACCCCACCGGTGTTTTCCCCCCTTCCGGGTGTAGCATATGTTCCTTCCGCATTGTCAGGTGTCCCGCCCGCTGAAAGCAGCCTAGTGCCTCCGGTGATGTCTGTACCTCATACCGCTCCCAGGAGTATTGTTCAACCCGCCGGGTCGAATTTTCCGCCCGCTGCTGCCGGCGTAGTACCTTCCACGGTGTATGGTTTCCCGCCCGCTGCGAACAACGTAGTGCCCTCTACTGTGCCCGGTTTCCCGCCCGCTGCAAACAGCGTAGTGTCATCAATTGTGTACGGTCTCCCACCCGCTGCGAGCAGCGTCGTTCCTCTGGCAATGTATGCCCCCCCCCCGCTGACAGGAGTGTGGTGTTTCCTTCCGCTCCTCAAGTGCCGCATGGTTTGGAGTTGGTAGCTGTTCCCGGGCTGCCCTCGCCCGACACCTCCATTTTTCAGGAGAGTAATGACGATGATGACCGTGGATGCATTCCGTACACAGAGCAGAGAGATTACGAGTGGGCTGTGTACCTATTGGAACAAAGAGAGGTATCAGAAGACCCCTACGAGTTATTAGACTTGATGTTTGAGTCTGGATTTGCAAATGTCTTCGATGATGTTGCTTTCGCCGTCCCCGTCATGGCCCCGGGCAAGCGCTCTTTTTCGGTGGGGAAACCTACCAAGATTATTGACGTTACCCTTCTCCACGTTTCGTGCTCCCACGCCAATGAGTATCTTTTGCGTGAGCTTGCGAAGCAGCACGGTCTCCGACTGACCGGTGTCCTGCAGCCTTGCGGTGAAGTTTGCAGGCGAAGGGGAAGAAGGCGGGCGTGCCTCACCAATCGGGCACGCGTGCGGAGTGGCCGCACGATCTTTGGCATGTCGATCTGTGTGGGCCGATGACGGCCTCGCTGGGGGGGTCGTTTTTC